AAAAAGGATCGACGCTAGTGTTTAAATCGAAACGTAGTGTACCATTCGCAGCATTGGATTAATTCAACGAAGAATTAGATAGATTTGGAGAAAAAAAATATAGATGCAATTGAAAAACTGGCCATCCCAATTGTGCAGCACCAGCAGTGTATGTAAAGAAAAAAAATTGCTGATTTTTCGACAGGGTTAAACTACCTATTACCAACTTCGGAGGAAATGTTTGCGAATTTAAAATGTGCAACAAAAATATTTTCAAAACTGGATCTTTCTGAAACGTATTTACAAATACAGATCAAAGATTCAGAGTTAACAACTATAAATACACACAAGTGATTGTATAAAATTTCAACCAACTTCCTTTTGGGATAAACAAAGTGGCTCCAGCTATATTTCAACAAGATATGGATATCTGGGACAACATATCGGGCATGTGAAGAGAGTGTTTGAAGGAATACGTGAAAAATAAAAATCTCAAAAGAGGGGATGTTGTTGAGTAAAGACACTGCCGGTAACATAAAGGAACAAGGCAAGACGCCTTAAATAAAGAATTCAAGGAAGTCAGCAGAAATTCCGGTGGAGTCAGTCGAGGAGAAAAAAAATCGAATACGTCATAGCGAGTAGCCGAAGCGAGACATACTATTTTAACCGTTAGTGTTGGGTGATTTTGTTTAGCAGTATATCAACACCTCTGTGGGTCATTTAATGCCGAAATATAAATATTTTGAACACAATTTTATGGCTTCAACTAAAAGATATTTTAAACGTAATGTTTCACCTTCAACTACGGATAAAATATATTGTTGGTAGTTTTACTATAAATATGTATTGTTGCTAATATTTTTTTTTATAAAAATGTTTTGCTTCTATTTTTACTATAAAAAACGTATTTTTATACTTTCATAGCATTTTGTTTTGTTTATGGATTTCACAATTTTCTCATAGCTGGGGCTTTAACAGGTACTACCACCCCGGATCAGAGGTGACCTCGAAACAGTAATTAATAGGGATGGCTCCCTGATGTAATTTATCGTCATACTCAGGACACCTAGTTTTAAAAATACTCCAGCTAAAAATTGTAGACTCTGCAATAGTATATTTTACATGCGACTTAAGTAACTACAAATGGATAGAAACATTAGCCAGTTTAAAAAAATAATAAAAAAAACATTAATATACTCAAAATTTATAAAATACCCAGATTATATACTAAACCGACAAATTTAAGTAATTAGTTAACAATATATTACAAGAAAAATATATATTCCCTTAAATAATTGTCTGATTAATGTGGTAATGATATAGTCACAGTATAAAATATATATATATATATATATATATATGCCTGTAAAAGTTTATGTTGATACTTTCAATATCAATGTAGGTGTTGTAGCATACCTACCGATGATAATGCGTATGTCCCCATTCACATAAATACAGTAGTAAATACTGTATGTTGGTCTGCAGTTGGAGATTCGTCTCCAGCGGTCAATCTATGTCCGGGCAGAGAGAACCCCCAGTTCCGTATCGGCAAACAGCTATCCAACCCCGTTTTATATTGAGCCTACGGGGAAGTTTTGGCCAAGGCTACGGGCTCGGATACCCAACATTAAATTCGGCCTTGTGCAACATCCGAGAGCGTGGGGCGTTTGGTAGATATCCTGTATATTCATTGTGGAATTAACTTCACTCCTAGCATTTGGCTAATTCGACGCGCCGCTGGCGAATCTTATATGTGTTGTTCTTGTCCTAAGTATTATCATTCATTACCAACATTCGTGTGATTATTCTATTCAGTAACCTTCCCTAGGTCACAACTGTAGGTAATGTTAAAATTTCAAAGAAAATATGAAAAAGTGTATAACACTTATAAAAAATAAAATTACAACCGAACAAAAAACCAATAGAATCAATAAATAAAACAAAGCAGCTACAATTCTGGTTGGACTGGTGTTACTCTCTCGGCCTTGTGTGACATTCTACCTCGTTGGGAATTTGGTAAATATTACTGGTGCTAGTCTCTGTTAGTTTCTTCAACGAGATGGACCAACTATATTATTCCTAAGAAATACACAAGAACCGCCTCTTCAATGACCCTAACATCGCGTTAAAACAACAAAAATATTTCGTTCAAAAACTTTCTATATGACAATAACTGAACCTGTACTACCTTCAATATCGTTGGATATAAAAATATATTACATAAAAAAAAACTGTAAACGTGTAACAGGCAAAAATTGAATGATTGCTGAACTTATCAAGTGTAACTCGGTCTCTTTATCTACACATTAATGCATTCCTTACCATTGTTAAAAAAATAGAACATTACATGGTATTTTTTTTCAATACTTAGCAAGAAAATGCATTATTATAAATTTAACCGAATATACACTGCGGCATATATTAAACCTCTAATTTATAACGTTGAAACAATTAAAATCGTTCTTATAATATCACAATATGACCAATTTATTATAACTTCTTATTGCAGGATCATTGTTATAAACACACACTCGTACTTGGTATAAAGTAATTTATTAAAGTATTATCTATACGTATTACTTAGGCTATTACCGTAATACTTGCATAGTTACTTTGAAGACTAATAGGGTCTCGTTCTACCCCCTCTACTACATGTCGGTTTCAAAATTTCCCAAACAGGGAGTAACGAAGGAAAATTGGTGGGGAAGTGCAGCACTTTTCATTTTTTTTTTTTTTTTCAATTACTAAAAATCAGGGAATTATCCAATGCATATCAATACAGTCATTAATCATTTAATTTTTTTTTTTTTTATAATGAATAGTTGTTTTTTGTATTATTGTTTTAAAAAGAAAATGTTATTCTTTTTGTAATAACTACCAATATTTTCATGGCTAAATTTTAATCGAAAACAAATGTTTAAGTCACGATTTTTTATATTTACGTAAAGATTAATCGTAGACGCATCTGCGCTGTGGAGAAAAAAAAAAAAAAGTTAGGCTAGGGGCAGAACTCTTCCGTAAACGTCTGACGAACGAGAATCCGCTATTTACATTGGTATATAGTTTAGCGTCTCTTTCACCTGGTCCTGTCATACATTTGCGCGCAAGCACACACAAAAAACCTAAACTGTTTCCTTTTATACGATTCATAGCTAAATAAATGCATTTGTACATTTTCAGTAAGATGTTTTAACAGTTCAACTCGTTGCAACGACCTTTCCCCGCCATCACTGTGTCACACGAAAACATCAGTACTGAGAGAGAAAAAGATAAAATACACGAGATACGAGAGAAGGAGATAGACAGGCAAGGGGGGGGAGAGAAAAAAGGATACAGAGAAAACGTTGAATTTCGCTTTTTCTTTTTTTGTTTTTTTTAAAAAAATAGTTACTAAAACTACTGCATTTTTTGATAGTAGTAGTATTCATATAAAATAAAATAAAAAAATTGTAATCTCATTATGCACAAAAATGGATCATACCGTCTTATGTAAACAATTCAACTAGAAAAATTGAAATTACAATACACTGTATAAATACAAATCCTCTAAAATGCTGGTTTGACTGGTGTTACTCTCTCGGCCTTGTGCCACATCCTACCTCGTGGGGAGGTTGGTAAATATTACTGGTCCTACTCTCTGTTAGTTTCTTCAACGAGATGGACCAACTATATTATTCCTAAGAAACACACATAAGAACCGACTCTTCAATGACCCTAACATCGCGTTGAAACTAAAACAAAAAATTGTTTCGTTCAAAAACTTTCTATATGACATTAACTGAACCTATACTAGCTTCAATATCGTTGGATATAAAAATATATTATATAAAAAAAATGTAAAAGCGTAACAGGCAAAAATTGCATGATTGCTGAACTTATCAAGTGTAGCTCGGTCTCTTTATCTGCAGATTACTGATGCATTCCTTATTGTTGAAAAGTAGAACCTAACATGGTATTTTTTTTTTCGATGCTTAAAAGTAAATGCATTCATTACTTCATCACAGCCGAGAGTTCAAACACGTTCGTTTTCAAAAGAATTCCTTCCTAACCCACATAACTTATTCATAGGAGATCGTTGATAATTTTTATTAGTTTTAGTTTGCTGAAACTTCTTTAGGCCCTTGCAACAGTGACTGATGTAGTAGGCAACATTCACCATGCAATGCATAAATTAGAATAATTGTCAATTAAGTTATTCCGAAAAATGTAATCTTACAAAAAAAAAAAAAAAAAAATCATCGGCTGTTCTTAGCTTCCGTTTTTTTATTTTTTTTTTTATTTATGATATCCACTTCCCGTTTAAGAAGGCAAACCTCTTAATCTCGTGGGGTAATTCTTCTAGTTCAACACGTTACCTTTTTTTTTATATGAAATCCTTTGCAGATTCTCACTCTTCACTTCATTTAAAAAGGGGTCTGAATTTTGAAGAAATCCATAAATTTCATCCCAATGGGATATCTGAGAAAACCGATTATTAATTGAAGACAAACCCTGGTCAACAAGAGATTAAAAAAAGAAAATGTCCAATGGGCAGAATACAGCGGCCTCTCTGTTTTGAGGGTTGGACGGGCCCTACTAACATCAGTTATGTTTAATTTGTGTTAATATTTTAGTTTGTTATTGGGTCCATCTCCTTCCACTCATTTTTTCATCAGATTTTTATATATATTTTTGCCTCATTAAATTTTTATATCACGGGGCGCGTTTTGTAGGTCTCCCTAGTGAGAATGTGGTATTATGGTGTATGGAGGATTGATTGGTGATGGACGAGTTCTTGTGGTGAATGTGGAAATTGTAATGTATGAATGGGTCGTGAATCGGATTAGCTAGGCATAGAATAGTTAAGACTAGCCCCTGCTCCTTCCCTTTTCCGGCCTTGTGCCATAATTGTATGTTTTTAATGCAATAAATATTGAGATTAAAAAAAGTCCTGATGAAAACGTTCGTCGGCTGTTTGAATTTCGTCGCGGGACTCGTATTAAAATAAACGTCTTTTGCGATGTCGGACATGTGAGGCAAACCTGAAAGTATCATTTTCTTTTGAAATTTCACCATTACCGCTATAGTCTTGAAGAAAACTACAAGTTGCATTGATCTCTGCGATCATAATATCGGTATTAACATCAGAAGACTGTTCACCTGAAACAGAACATCGTACTAATGATGCTAAGTACAAAGTTCCAAATAGAAATCCAGACCAATAGTGATGTTGCTATAGTCACTCTTTTCTAATTAATTTTCTCGTCGGCTGATAAGCGAAGATAGGTTTTTCAAGTGAAAGCTCAAAGGTTTGACGGCATGGATTCGCGATTCCCATCTTGTATTACAGTATGCTTTTAAAGAAATAGTCACACAAGCTAATCGTATCTTCCAACGAAAGGTAGAAGCAGAAAATATGGTATATAAACGGTTAATTACCCCAAATACCCCGAAACCAATGATGAAATATTAGACACAGCCAAATTCAAAGTCTGTTCATACATGTCATAAATTAAACTTTATGGAAACTGAATTTTTACTTAAAATAGTTTGTTTTGTTTTTTTTACACACAATAAAAGGCAAAACCTACACACATGTTTCGGTTTTAGGTTTGAAAATTGAATCTCAGTTAACAAACAATACCGAATGAATGTTTATTGAAGAAACCACGGCAAAAATTTACCCTTGGAATTCTCCGATACTTCAAAACAGAGTTTTTGTTTAAATCAATATACATTAACATTTGAAGTAATTTAAAAGAAAATGAATGGCCGAGTTTACACAAATCCTCCAGGTTAACGTTAACACAATTCCAGTCGGGAATACTAGATGTATATTATATTTTCATGACAACAGAATTTTCATTTGAAATAATTCTTCAAGAAAAATAAAATTACAGATTTTACGTATAAATCCTGTATCGTTTTGAAAAGTTAATACACAGTTAACACATTTAGTTAAGTTCAGTCACATTATTGAATGAATATTTATTGAAGAAAACCACGGCAAAAATTTACCCTTAAATTTCTCCGACAACTTTTAAACAGAATTTTTGTTTCAGTCAATATACTAAATTTACACTGAAATATTTTTTTTAAGGCGGAATTTTTCAAATTCCCTTTCACTTTTCAAGTTAAGACTATGCCTAACTTTTACAATAAGAAATTCTTTAGAAACTCAAGGGGATGCAGAAGTCGTTTTTTTTAAGATCCGGATTAACATAAGTTATTCCTTGGCTTAGTTTGATATTCTATTTCTGTTACGCACGAGAAAAATCTATCCAGCCAGACTGTACAAAAAATTCCTTAAAAATTCACGCAGCAGAGTCTTGTAAAAACGAACACAAATTGTTCTTTGTATTCAGGAGTTAACAATTTTTTTTGTGAAAAAATATAAAAATATTCCACAAAATACACGAAGCAGTGTCTTATAAAAAACGAATACAAGTAGTTCTTTGTATTGAAGAATTAACATTACAACAGTAACATAAAAGTTTTTCATCAAAATATAAAAATTTTGTTTAAATATCAACTCCAAATTCTTGTGCCTGACAAAACCTATTTGGTAGAAACAGCAATTCTCGATAATAGGCGCAAACCTAAGAAACAAGACGACCACTGAGTAAATCTTTTAAAAAGGGAAAAGATTTATTTTACAACTTAGAAATACGAAAATGTACAATAAAAGGTTTGCACAAAAAGTTCCTTTTGTGTTCCTATTTCGGCAGGAAACAATTTCCTGCGGTAACAAAACCGGGTTTTTGTTTTGGTTTGTTTTAATGGTTATTTAATGCCAACAATTTTTATTGCTTGTAATATTGTTTTTTTTTCAAAAATCTATTTCCAATAATATTTTTTCCCTCAAAAAATGTATTGCTGGTAGTATTTTTTTTCAAAAATGTACTGTGGGTAATAGTTTTTTTTTTTCTTCAAAACCTTATTGCTGATAATTTTTTATAGAGTATTTCTTGTATTTTAACCTATTTTTACACTTTCATAGTGTTTTTACCCCAGTTATGGCGTTAACTATTTGCCTATAGCTGGGTTCCCTAACAGTTGCTACCACTCCGGGTCAGGGTGGACCTGGTAACACCAGCAGTTAAGAGGTGGTTCCACGCTCCTCAAAACCTCCTGATCAGAGGCCTTGCTGCTGGAATATAGTTTATCGTCTTACTGAGGACGCGGATGCAGTTAATCGCCATACCCAGGACCGAACAAAACAGGGAAACAGAAACAAGAAAAGAATATGTTACAATTTGATAAAGAAACAGACAAAAAAAAAAATTAAACCCTATATAAATAGAAAAATAGGAAAAAAACTTGCAGTAAGCAATAACAAAATTGAACAAGGCATAAAATTTTCAAAGAGCACCTACCTCCGTTCTTAACAGAATCCCAAAACGGGCCGTCACATCACGAAGAGGCTTCCATTTATTTTATCGAAGTGTTGTTGAATTTTGCCGCAAAGTTTATGTTCAATGTTCTTCGGTGTGAAACCTCCGGGAAGCTCAGAAAGGAATTTAAATTTTTGGGTAGAAATCTGCCATCTCTTGATTTACGACCTTCTTTGATAGACGAGTCCTTTGAAGCGTAGATGATAATTGGCTTTTACGTCAACTGCTTTCTCGTCAACGGCACATTCTTTTTTTCTGTCCTTATCCGCTCCTAACAGCTCTTTTTACTTCAGGTTTCACTAAAGGCGAGTTGAGGAAGGCTGGTCTTCATACCGAGTTATCTTTAAATTTAGCTAGTCACAATTTAGAGTTAGTAATAAAAAAACACAATCTTTAATAGGGCATTTAACTGGATGAAATGGATGCGAGTCTTAAATAATTAAAACAATCATTCGACCAATCATTAACTCAAACATACACTCATTCAGAACTACACAAAAATATCAAATACGAAAAGCACACTCGAAAAAAAAAAAAAAAAAACGAAAGGGGGTCTGCATCCACCAGAGAACTGACATTTTTGTCCTTAAGGTGAGACGGGAGATTAAAGAAAATGTGTGTGTGGGGGGATAAAAGGGTCTAATGAGCATATATCCCCTAGCTAAGTTAACTTCGATGGAAGAAACTAAATGGAAAATCCTAAACTACAATAATTTTGGATGCACCCTGTGAGAACTGAAATGATTTCTCAGTCGTGACTGATTTAGCAAAACAAGCTTGCTAATCATTACACCACGTCGAAGTTAAAAGATACAGTGTGAGCTGGAATTAAAGTAAAATAAATCAATAGAGAGCGAAGATTATCCATATAGCGAGGATTGAAGGATAATAGTCGAGTTCCTGTGGGGGATATGCAAATTGTAACTAGTGAATCGGGGCATCAATAGGATTAGCTAGATATAAGATAGTGTCGACCAAATTTAACCCATTTCCCTCCGTTTAGGCCTTATACCACAATTGTATTTTATATACAATAAATCTTGATTACCCGTGTCTTGAAAGATCATGGCATGAGAAATTTTTAAATACACATATAGAATCATTATATTTTTTATGGTATGGGGCGCGTTTTGTAGGTTTTCCTTGAGAGGATGCGGTATTATGGTGGATGGAGGATTGATTGGTGACGGACGAGTTCTTGTGGTGAATGTGGAAATTGTAATGTATGAATGGGTCGTGAATCGGATTAGCTAGGTATAAGATAGTGATGACCAGCCTCAACCCTCCCCATTTTGGCCTTGTGCCGTAATTGTGTATTTTGCACGATAAATAAAAATACCATAGCATGAGTTGCTTTAAGCGTCAATTCGAATATCCCGAAATCGTCATCCTTGGAAAGCACTGCATTTCTTTTCTCGCGAGAGAAGTAAGTGAGATTACATTTTAGAATTCAGTCGTTTTGATAAATATTTATTCGAAAATGTCGGCCGTAGCGTGATTGAGAATTCGACTAAGATGATAAACTTGTTAAGAGATAAAAAAAAAATTGTCTATTTCATCTGGGCACATTAACGGTACTTAGGGAGTGATTCGTTTTCTAAAATTTTATCAACAAATTGCAGGTTATTTATATTAGATAACAATGATTTAGGCTTACTAATTAAAAGTGGGAAAACTTGTAGATTCCCTTTCGAAGGTCTATTTGCTCAGAAGAAAAGGACGAGTAAGCTTGGGCATTACGAACACTGTTCTTCCACTTGTTTCTTACGGGGATGTAATCAATTTGTATTCGAGGTTTGAATGCCCCCAGACGACATGGATTCTTCATGAACCTCGTTCTTAGAATTTGGATTTGAAATTCTTGAGCGAAGTCTGTCAGTTTTTCCCCGTTTCGGTTAGCTTCATATTATATGTGAATGGAGTATCATTCTTTTCTATTTGACCATTGAAATCGCCTGAAATAACGAAGAATTTGTGGAGGCGGACACTTTCCGTGACTCTCTCTACATCGGATTAAAAGCCACCCACGTGCTAATACCCTTGGAAAATGTATGAATCCTCTTCTTCTTCCCCACTCCCAGCTATGGGTAAATAGCAGGACATGCCGAGTTCTGTAGCATTGGATAGCAACTGGTCTCTCGCAAAAAGAATGGCAACCTAGTGCTGGAAAAATCTGTTTCGTCAGTCATGTATTGAAAGATACATGATCGCTTACGTGGGTATCACGCATGGCACATAACTGACTGATAAGTTTTTTGCACTTGTGTTGATTGGGCAGTAACAAGCAAGGAATGTGGTTTGAGGGTTACTGCTAAATTCAGTAACAGTTATGCGATCAGATATTTTTTTAACAGAGAGTAAGTTTCCTAAGGTTTTAGCAAAGACTAGTATACGAACTCCGTCGACAATGGAACGTTGCAAGTTTTTGGTGGCTGAGGCGGTAATAAACTGGTATTGATCAATGTTGTTATAATTCAGGTCAGTGTCTAGGTGATGGAACCTATGGTCCTAGATGCTCAAGATGTTAATTTAATTTTACTTTGTGCGAAATAGAAGCTTTTGTTTGCTGCTGGTCTTTGACAAAGTTCCGGAATTGAAAGTACTGTACACAATAAGACTTTTGGATTTCATTAAACTTTGATGTAGATTTTTTGTTTGTTGTTCCCGTGTCTTCCCTTTCGCAATTCCTCCTCTCCAAAGACTTGGGGGTGACTCGTTATACGTTTCATGAGAA